TGTCCCGTGTCGCGGAGCGCCGCCGCCAGCTCCAGGCACGGCCCGGCCGCCAGCGCGGGCTGCCCCCGCTCCAGGTGCAGGCGGGCGGCGAAGGCCCCGCAGCTCTGCGCCGCCGCCACATGCTCGCCGAAGCCGCCGCGCAGCCCCAGGCGCTGCCGCAGGTCCCGCTCCTGGCGCAGGAAGAGCCGCGCGGCTTCGGCCAGCGCGGCCGCCTCGGCGGGGCCGTGGAACAGGCTCTGGGCGCAGCGCGCCACGGCCAGCTGGCACCAGGCGGCGTACGGCAGGCTCTCCTGAGCGCGCAGCTCCCGCGCCAGCGCCGCGAACTGCTCCGCCGCCTCCGCCACGTTCGGCTTCCGCAGGAACCGCCGCCGCAGCTTGGCCGACACCAGCCGGTACCGCGATAGGAAGTCCCCATCCCCGCCGAGCCCCGGGCCGGAGCCGCCCGCCCCACCGGGGCCGGAGCCGCCGCCCGCCGACAGCATCGCGGGCCCAGCACGGAACTGACGCGCCGCGCCGGGCCGCGCACCGCCGAGCGCCAGCGCCCAATCAGCGCCCGCCCCGCCCCGCGCCGCCGGCCAATCAGCGCCCGCGCCGGCGGCTCGTGGCAGTGCGGCGTGGAGAGGGCGCGGCTACTGCAGACCGCGGGCCCATGATGTCACCGCCCATTGTGGGCGCGGCTCTATGGTACAGGCCCCGCCCAGGAGGCGTGGCTAAATGCGCGRGCACCGCCCCAGGCATGCAGCGGGCCACGGCAGGGCTGCGCCCCCTAGCGGCGGGGAGGACCTGGGCTCCCACTCATGCTCCGGCCCCACGGGACGGGACGGGACGGGGAAAGGGAACGGGAACGGGATCAGACGGGGAGAGTGCCAGGCTCTGGAGCTCTCTAAAGGAACCGCAGTAACCAGGTTCAACCAAGAACAGTTCACCCAGATAGTAGAAGGCGGGTGGATGAGCCTCCTGGCCAAATGATTGTGGGTGGCAGCAGGAATTTTAGGTGACAAAAAGGGTGACAGGTAGACACTTGTACAAGAGAACTATTGGGGTCTCTAAACAGATAAACCGCGCCTGACTCAGGGAATCCGCAGCGCTGAAAATATTTGGTGCCGGAGAAAGCTAAGTGAGCATGGGACAGACACCACGTGTGCTTGTCTGCTTCTCGCTTTTTCCCTGAGCGCCTCCTGGAGGCACGGCCCGGACTGGGCTGGCCCCTGGGCTGGCTGGGAGAGGCTCTTCCTGCCTCCTGTCCGTAGGAGCACATGCACTCACTCTGCGAGCTGAGGTGACACGGCTCCTGAGCCCTGTCCTCTGCACCCACACTTCCCTCCTGCTCTCTCCGCAGTCCGAGTATCCCATCGGACAGGCTCGGTGGCGGCTGGCACTGAGCTTTCAGTCTGTCGCAGGCCAGCTCAGCGCAGTCCCGCGGGTGCAGTGACACTTGGCTCCCCGTGTCCCATCGGWACAGGGGTGACAGCTCAGCCCATCCCAGCACCGCGCTGTTCTGCGCACGCCGGGGCTCTGCGGGCACGGCACGGGGCGGTCCCTGGGTTCCAGCACCGCCCGGCACCGCGCCTCTCACCGCGCCCCTTCCCTTCCCTTCCCTTCCCTTCCGCTCGCCGCGCATTTCGCTGCCGGAGCGGGTCCCTGTCGCTTCCCGGAGCGGGGCCGGTGTCCAGCCCGTGCCGCTGTTCGGCTGCCGGCGGTGGCCGCAGCCCCTTGCACCCCGCCATGGCTCTGTCCTGCGTGTTGAGGCCACCGCGCTGCCTCCTCCGCGCTCCGCCGCTCGCCCTGCTCTGCCTGCCCGCTCCGCGCCGCAGCCTGGTGACAACCACAGCAGCGTGGGAAGGGAAGAAAAAGGCCAGGGAGAGCTGCAGCCTGCCAGAATCCTCCTGGGAGGARAGGTACGGCTTTTCCAAAATGACCAAGCATTCTTTCAAAGCAGCAAGCACCTAAAGCTATGATAGTGGTGGGTTGCGAGTGTAGTTTACTTCCATCCAGTAGGAATACAAGAGCCACGGTTCGGCTCGTTTGCCAGGAGTCTGGCCKGAGGATGGGAATAGTGGAAAAGAAAAATGAAAAGTTCTGAGAGGAAAGGAGCAGATAAGTTGCYATATTGGCAAGCAAAAAGTGACAGTCCATTTGATTTGCAGTCCTGTATGTCAAAGCAGTTGGCACTGGGTGCTTTGGAAGCAGCTCCAAAATCCTAGTAAGCAATAGCAGCAATCTAACAAGCGATGGGGTGATGTTTTCCATTCGCTCACGAAGTCAGAAGTCAGTGAACAGTTATGAGTGTTTGAATCATATCAGCCTCAGCCCTTACTCTGTCTGGCTTTTTAAAAATCAGCTGTCATGTGTTTTSTTCTTGCTTGTTCTGCCTTGGGTATGATTAATGGTGGTTCTGAGGTTTATCTCTAAACTACTTCTGTGTGGGTCAGTGAGAGTGGGCASCTTGAAATTCCCTGCCTGCTACACACAAACTGCATTTCACAGTGGTTCACTGGGAGTTTGGGTGTTCACAGCCAGCTGTGGTGCAGAGCCCACACCAGAACACTGCCCATGAAGTAGCTGAYRGGGATGTTATGCCATAGGAATYRGGTCCAGTAGCTCTGGGCAATGCCTTGATGTTGTGCTTTCCAGGTTAGCAAATGCAGTGACACCACTGTGGAGACTTCCCTACCAAGAGCAGCTGCAGGTAAGATGTTTTAACTCAGACTTTTCTCTGTTGTGTTGCCCTAACTGTCCCTCCTATCACCTTGAGCAATAACCATCCTAATGCTGTAAACTCTGCAGACCCCATTTACTGCTGCTTTAATCCTTCATTGTCATGACAGCTGGGAAGTGATACAGAGAATGTGCACTTGCACAGTGACCCTGTCCTCTGTGGGACTGCTCTGCTTCAGTGGGGTTTCAGGTTAGACAGCGTGTTCCAGGCCAGCATTTGGGGACCATATCCACAGATTTTTCTCTCTTCCTGTTGGTCCAAGCAGCTGTGGTTATGAAAAGGGCAGAATTCCTCTGGGGCTACATCTTCACTTGCAGTATTTCCTGCTGTTGAAATCCCAGAGGTGGGTGATGAAGAGCTCCCCACCATCATGTGGTCCTGTGAGAGTGTTTCTGCCTCAGAACTCCTCTGCAGGTAAAGTATGAAAGCCAGAGGAAGATTTTGCAGACACTGGCATCTCGTCTTGAGGAGCTGGGAATAGATGCACAGAAACCTGGTGGGCTCTGCTGTCCTCTCCAGCCTGTAGTCCCTTCGGTGAGTCCCATGAGAATGCTGTCCCCTCTGAGCCACTGACTGTCCCTCACTCAACAGCCCAAGAGTCTCATGGGGGGCATTATTTGGTTGCAGAGAGTGTGTCTGTGGCAGTGCTTGCTAACTTCAGCTTTACAGCCTGTGACTGCCCAAGTGTGAAATAAGCCCAGTGCTTAGGAAGCCTTTTTTGTGCCCAAGGTCCCCCTGATAAAGCTGTCACCATTCTGTCACAGAGAGCCACTTCTTGTGCCCAAGTTCTGGGGTTCTTATGCACAAACTCCATTTCTGTGTTTTGTACATTCACATATATCTTCCCATGTAGAATGGCTAGGCTGGGTTTTGGCTTTTCTCCATTGCTTTTTCCTTTAATTCAAGGCTTTACTTTTCCTTCTTTTCTYCCTCAGCCCATCATTAATGGCTACCGAAACAAATCAACTTTCTCTGTGAACCGAGGACCAGATGGGAACCCCAAAACTGTGGGGTTGTATGTAGGAACTGGCAGAGGTCAGTGCAGGACAAGAAACTCAGAAAACTGCTGGCATGGGCTGTGGAAAGGAGGAAAGGACTCTCCACAGCTTATCATGTCAGGTACTACCATGGTTTACCTGCCCTGAACCAGAGCAATTAAATACCTGTCCATGTCTCTCCAGAAAGAAATATTGTCTGTGTGAAAGCCARCCATGTGGAGAACATACCCTCAAAACACAAACAAGTAGCCCAGGTAAATAAATAAGGCATGTCTGTCCTTTAACTGTGGAATAAAGAGATTGCAATAATTCTTATTTGGGAACACATTGTGATTTGAGTTATTTAGTATTATCAAGTCCATTTTCATGTTCTGAAAAGTTTCATGCCTAGTTCTAGTTTGTGGATAAATACTTTTTCAAAAMTCACATGTTAATGTTGCAGCCTCTAAACTGTCCCAAAGAATGAAGTTAATCAAGTGACAATGAATTTCTKCCAATCTATTAAAATACATAAGAATTGAAAATTGAAATTATTAAAATGTGTTGTCTTTCAAGAGCCTGGAAAGARCTTTCAGCCAGTGTATTGAAATCAAACAGAAAAAGAAGATCACAGTGGTGGAAGGGCTGCCTGTCTGCAGAGCTAAGAGCAGGGCACTTGTGTTCATGATACTAAAGGTGCCATTTCCCCTCTGCTCAGTGCTATGAGGAGTTCATCTGTCACTCACCCCTGGACTCCTGCATCCTCTTCCATGAAGGAGGGCACTGGCGGGAGCTCGTGGTTCGTACCAGCAGCCTTGGCCACACCATGGCTATTGTCACCTTCCACCCCCAGGAGCTGGGCCAGGTGAGCATGTGGAGGCAGAGCAGGAGGCACAGCAGGTACCTGGCTGAGCTGASCCTGCTGGCTGTGTTGCTGGGGAGAGGGGTCTAATCAGGTTACCCAAACAGGCAGCTTTTCTTTTCTGGCTCTTGACAGGAGGCACTGGCTACTCAGAAAGCATTGCTGAAGGAGTTCTTCACRTGTGGACCTGGAGCAGTCTGTGCCTTGACTTCACTTTATTTCCAAGAGAGGTAAATGCCTCGACATGGGGAATGAGTTGAAGCAAAGCCACCTCCTTTTTCTACCCTCTCTCTGATCAAATTCAAATTCCACCWGTGCAGGGAGTGTTTGAAGAGAATGACGGATGTTTGGGTCCCTCTTGAAGACATTTTTAAGATGGCCCCATCTTTTATTTTTCCAGACTTGGAATACATGAATACACTATGGCTCTACCATATGTCTGGGACACACAATGGCTCTACCAGTTATGAGTCTGGAAAACTAAAGAAAAAATTTACAGTAACTATCCCAAGACACTAAATCACATTAGCAGCAAAACTGGGGAACAGACCCAAGGAGTGCTGCCTTCTGCTAAATCATTTTGATTCTTTTAATGAAACTTAGGCTGTGCAGGTCACAGATCTCTTACAAAGAATCAAAATTCTTTGATCTTGTTGATAGGCTCACGTGAAATAGAAGTTGCTGAGGGGAAGAGCCATCCTCCAGTCCCACGAGCACCCTGGGAATGGAAACCAGCTCCTTTGTGCTGCCTTCTAACAGGTGTTTTTTGTGATCTGCCAGCACCATGACACGCTGCTCCCATGAGCAGGCCCCCTACCAGCTCCTCCACGGAGCACCGCACATCTTCGAAGAACTGCTCGGCCTGAAGTTCCGCATCTCTCCCGATGCCTTTTTCCAAGTCAACACAACTGGAGCAGAAGTTCTGTACCAGACAGTCGGGGAGCTCTGCCAGGCTACTGGGGACACTGTCCTGCTTGACATCTGCTGTGGGACAGGTGGGTTCCTGGGCTCCCAGAGCTTGTCATTCCAGAATGTATTCCTTGTTATGTGAAAGCCTGTTTCTTCACCATGAATGTGTGGAGTATTTTCGTTTCCTGTGTTTCCAGGCACAATTGGACTCTCTCTGGCTCACAGWGTGTCCAAGGTCATTGGTGTTGAGATGGTAGAGAAGGCAATAGAGGATGCCAAGTGGAATGCAGCATTCAATGGTGAGTTCAGACTTGCTGTGACAAAAAGTTTCAAACTAAATGCYGAAAAATCTGAAGTAGAAGTGAGCAGAAGGACTTTAACCAGTTCTACCTAACTCTTGGTGAGACTGAGTTCATGTTGCCTTTTTGTTTCACAGGGATCTCAAACTGTGAGTTTCACAGTGGAAAGGCAGAGGCTGTGTTACCACAGCTCCTGGCATCGTGGGAGGATGCCCGACCGCTTGTTGCTGTGGTGAACCCCTCTCGGGCTGGCCTACGTGAGAGCATATGCTATTTATTTTCATCTTTAAATAGAGAGTTTTGAACAAGTTCCGTGAGACCTGTTACATTGGCTCCAAACCCTTTCCTTGCTTCATCTCTAGTTTCTTACCTTGTTGCTGACAGTAGCTGAAATCCTATAGAGTCTTCTGTTTTCAGTGCCTTTATCATACTTTCTCTTTAGCTCCAGTCCTTTTTCCATCTTTCAGTGGCTTACATAATTATTTAGGAGAGAAAGGACTTCTGGAGGTCTGTGTTACAATCTCTCAACTATAGAAAGGGCGGCTTTGGAGTTGTATGAGGTTGCATAGGCTGTAAAGCCTCATTGAAGTTTGAATGTGTCCAAGGGTGCATCCCCTCTCCTGGAAATGTTTTCCTTAATATATTTAATCAGAATTTTCCCTTGCTGCCATACATCTATTGCTTCTCATCCTCTTATTGTGCCCCTCTGAGAAGATTCTCAGTTCTCTGTAATCCTCATGAGGCCCCTGAAGAYAGCAAATGGATCCTTGCTTACCCTYTCTTTYCCAGGCTGARTWTMCCCAGCCCTCAAACTGTCTCAGWRGCCTCCCCTGGAGTGGTACTGGGAAGTCACACACTGGTCCTGGTGCCCAGATGCACTCTCCCAAGTGTATATGGAAGGTTTTATGTGCCTTTRCTTAATTGAGTAACCACTTTTCTCTCTTCCTTCATTCCCCTGGGAGACAAAGGGATTCCTCCCATTGCACTTTTCTGCCAAACTGGCTAAGCTGTCAGCAGTGTGGGCTGTACCCGTGGCCTCCTGAGAGACTGAGACAGAACATGGCAAAATACGTCTCTGTATTTTTGACAGTTCAGTGCCGTTCTGCGATGCTGTGCAGTCATTCCTTCTGGAGAGCTCAGGGTGGTGGTGGGTCCCTGGCACAGCAGGGTGTCTGTTTTTGCAGATTACAGGGTTGTACGAGCCATCCGGAACTGCAGGTCCATCCGCAGGCTGCTCTACATCTCCTGCAAGCCAGAGGGTGAAGCCATGAGGAACTTTCTTGAGTGAGCACTCCCCTTCTTTCTACTGATCTTAGTGACAGACCCTATTAAATCCAGACAAGGCATCAGTGAGGAACAGAAGATAAGGCAAACGTGGCACAATGGCATTGTGCATCCTTCTCCAAAAAAACCCCAATCTGGATGTGGGATACAGAGTCCATCAGTTCACTGCAGGAAGGTTGGCCCCTAGCCAAGAAAGTGAAGCCAACATTAGTCACCAGCTTAAGGGTTAATCGTGTAGCTTTATCTGGTCAGCTTTTATCTGGGGTAGATCCAGGTGATAAATGTCTGCAGGTAGCCAYGAAGGCAGTGCAAAACTGAAATTTGAGTGTCTTTCAGCTGGGATGGTTTCTGAGAAAGGGAGCTTTAAGGGACTGTTCAGCTTGTCCCTGAGATTTCCAGAGCTGGTTTGGGATTCAGTGTTGGTTCCATATCTCAGCCTCTGAGGAATGTTAGCCAAACATAGWCCCTCCTTGGTGCATCTCCCCTGTGATTCCAGTGGTGGGAAGGCTTCTGCTACTGGTCTAAAGGATGCTCTTTGCTTTCCACAGGCTGTGCTGCCCACCTGACCCACGGAAGAAGCTGGTAGGGGAGCCATTTACCCCYATGCTGGCTATTCCTTTTGACTTRTTTCCTCACACTGTGCATTGTGAGCTGGTGCTGCTCTTCACYCGCTGACAAGGAGGCAGATATGAGCTCTGAGAGCTTGGGAAGCAACCTCCTACCATCCTGAAGACCCAATGTAATTAGGATTTTAACTTACTTTCTGGAAAGTTGTATAAAAATAAATAATATTGGTTTTTCTCTTACTTTGGGTTGCCTAGCAGCACTGTTCTGTGAAGAACCACTTGAATTTCTGGGGTGAAAAGGTTCTCTGTGGCATTTTACCACCCTTCCTTCCTCTGTAAATCTTGGGCTAATGGTTAAAGCAKCCTGGAAAATACCCTCTCCCTGTGTTGAAGAGTATGCCCAGGGCGGGGAGATTGGTGTTTGAGCTGCAGTTTGTGCCCTGGATAATGGGAAATCGCTGGAGCCTCAGGCAAGGAGCTGTGAATGGGCGCTGACCTTGTGCCTAACAAAGGACATGGGACCTCCAGTGCTGGCTTCTCACCCACAGCCTGCACAAACCACTGAACAGTGGGAAGACACCAGGCTCTAATTTTCCACTKCTCAGAACTGTTGTACAAGGGGTGWGAGATTCAGGATGGAAGAGTATGAAAGCCCAGGGACTMCTTTGTTGGGGTCCCTGCCTGGAGGAGGAGACACCAGCTTTGGCAATGAGATTTTTCTGTAAAAGGAAATGAAGAGAACAGATTTCAGTGTCTCTTTTCACACCTGCCTCCCCTTTCCCCACTAATGGTTGCTGATGCCTAAATATGAAATGCCTTGTGAAAATGTCAGCAGCAATATTTTTCCTCCTAGGATGTTCTGCAATGGCATATTATAAATTTTCTTGTGTTTTGTATGTGTCCTGTCCTGTTCACAGTGTTWTGTGAAGCTCTTCCAGAGATAGAGCTGCTGTCAGGGGAGGGAAGCCTGAGTGAGCAGAGTTCTCTTGAGAGAGTCCCAGAATGTTTTGAATCAAGGCTGATAAACTTCCAAGGAAACTGGGAGAGCTGTCTGTGTTTTTCAGACTTTTAACTCCACTCCTGAGCTTTGATTAATAACAACAACCAGTACTCAAGCCATGGGGGCTCAAAATACATATGTTTAGGACTTGAGAATTACTAGACCATAAATGCAGTGATGATGAGATTCCTGACAGGCATAGGAAGTGTCACTCTCGCACTGTCCCATGAGTGTAGGTAATTTACACRCTGTTGCAGCCTCCTGCTTTCCTTTTATACCAAAGGATGCAGTATTCCAGCAGTTTGGTTTAATATAATTATACATTRGTTTCTCACTGTGAGATCTGAATAGATTTCTGCTAGGTTTTGGTCAAAAGGAAATTTGTTGCACATTGCAGGGGAGAGAGTGACTTTAAATCAGAAAGTAAYAGAGGATCAGAAAACCTTTCCTCTTGCCTGGAACATACAGGACAGCTTTTATCTGCAATGGGGGTGGGTGGTATGAGTGGCTTCACCTTCCCTTTTGGGCATCAGGTTCCAGGAGAACCACA